ACCCGGAGCTCACGAGGCCTTGCCGAAAGCCAAAGGCCCCCCGACACCGAAGCCACCAGCACCAAAGCCTCCTCCAAAGGAAAAGAAGTGTTTGCCTCAGCATGATATATACTATAATATGCTATAGTATACTATAATATACTTCTATATAGTGTAGTATAGTTTAGAAAAGTATAGTATTAGTATAGTACCCAGCACCAGGGCATGTTTTGTGTTGCAACGTCTGGCAGAGCTGGTAGAGGCCCCTACCTCTTGGCCAGATTCCACCGCCTACACCGACTTATGAACTGCACGAGCCATGGGCGCCAGGAGCTTAGGGTTTAGGGTTTATGGAATCAGCAGTCTTTTGCGGAAGCATCTTGTGGGCTGTTGCTGTGAAGGGTAGCCTTGCGAGCTCGAGCTCAAGCTGAGCACAGGCAAGTCATGCAAATGTTTGGTGGCTGCCGCTTTCACTCCAGAGCAGGCCTGAAGGCCACACAAGTGCTGGAGCTCGAGCTTGGGGCCACCGGCCGGCGTTAATGCGATTCTCCGGCGAGGCAATTCGCTTTTGAAGGTTGAAGGTGGAAAGCAACAGGCAATCAGCTACGCAGCTATACCTCCCCCTCAGATCGGTGATTTCGACTTGTCCGCTTTCCGGGCAGCTGAAGTTGGCACCTGAGCCCTGAGCAGGACAGGGTGCTCTCTGGGCTGTCCATTGATCATCTTTTGTAGCCATTGAGGTGCAGGGGTACATGCCATATGAACCAGATGAATTGTCAGAGGCCGAGTCCCAGGCTGGGGTAGGGAGGTAGGGATGTATAGCAGTAAAGATAAAGAATAGCAACCATTGCAAATTTCAAAAGAAATAAGAAGAGCAATTTTTGTCACTGTAGTCAGAGTAATCGTAGTAGTTATACTTAGATAGTAATAAGAATAAGAGTAGTTATACTAGGAATATGCAGGGATGCAAGCCTGAAAAGCCGCCATCACCCGCCCTGACCAGGACTCCCAGGAATCTCTGTCTGGGTATGCAGCAGCCCTACGGGCAAGCTATACCCTAAACCCTAAACCCTAAGGGTAGACCCATGTTCTGAGGTGCAAAGCCGGTGGGACGACACAAAGACTGAGAGGTGGGCGCTGAGAGACCTGGATGAGGAAGATCTGATGTAATATTAGGGTATATTATTGGGATTATAGTGGGATAATGGAAAAGAAAATGGAAACTACTATTTAGGGCTTACCCAAGAGATGCCAGGCGATATGCATATGGCACAGATGCCAGCGTCAAATTCTCGGGGGTGAGGCCTTGTGCTTGCAGCAGCTCCTAAAGACCTGTTGAGGTGATCTGTTGCACAGGCGAATGGACTGGAATCGACCGGAGTGGAAGGAGGGTTTGATAAAGGCCGTCCGCGACTTTTTGTTTTGAGGCTTTGCCGGTTTGGCAACTTTGTCACGTCCTGCCTATGCAGACCAACCATCTCGGGGCGCGCACCCCTGTCGAGAAGATGAAGGTGCCCTCACAACAATCTGCCAGACAGGACCTTGAAATGAAATGCTTTCACTTCCCAGGCGGCCGTGTTTAAGGTCATGGCGATGAACAGGCAGACGACCATAGTGTGTCTGTTTCTTGCAGGCATATTTTCTGTCAGAGTGCAGGGTGTACAAGAGCATCACTGCGCCTCCGGCAGAATGGCAATTCGAGGCACCACATGCCTTGACATGTCTTGTAAACCCCTTCGACCAGAACAGACGTCCTTTGGACCTGACATGCAGCATTGCAATGCAAAGTCAAAGACACAAAACGAGGTAGAACGGCAGAAGGCAGACGACTGGCTGAGGAGGCAAGAATGATCAAGGCCGAGAAGGACCTCTGCGCAAAGCACTGGAGGGAAGCCGCGGAGGCTGCACTGCTTGAAAGTGCATGCCGCAGCAAGGAGAGAGTGGAAAGGGAGCGCCTTGACGGGCGGAATGCGCTTCAAGTTTTGAGCCCCCATCCTGCGGAATTTGATGGCCAAGCCAAGCTGAACTGAGGAAGATGAAGTCAAAGCTTGGTAGGAAAGACGCACGCTGCAAGCTCAGACTGCCTAAGCCTCTCAAAGCCTCGCAAGCTTGTCCCCATTCTAACAGTACTCGTAATATGTTTCCATGCAGAGGGGCTCTAACGTTGACTCAGGTGCCCACGCTCGCAGTGAGAGGCAGGCGCGCATTGAGAAGCAGCTCATGCAGGAGAACACGCAGGCAGCACTACTGCAGCATGCCGCAGAAATTAACTTTACAAGCCAACCAAGAGAGCGAGAAGAGCTGCATGCTTAGTACTCTCTTGGAGAGGATCGTTACGGGGCGTACTTGGTGTGTGTGTGTGTGTGTGTGTTGATTCAGGGGCGCCTCGCAGGTCCTAAAATCAGGTTTCCACGCCGATTGTGAGACCATATGAGAACAACAACAGTATCATACTGCTGCCAGTAATAACAGCATCTTGATGATGCTTGTGGAAACTGCTTTCTTTGTGCTGCGGCAACAGGTGCTTTGGAGCATGAGCGCTTGAGCGGGGTTTGGTAGTGGCGTCAGTTACAAATAGAAGGGTTTATGTCGTTACACATGCTTGCTACCTTAGCTACGTATCCTCGTGTCTTGAGAAGGGCTTGTGACGAAATCTTGGGTCTCCTTTTTTTTTGGACAGGGCGACCCTATCCAAAACTGAGGGGTAACAAGATTTCATCAGTTTTCGGTTGCACTGCGCCTGATAGCAACTCCTAGCACATTCAGCGTGTGGATCACGCATCTGTCGCGCTCATGAGTGCCGCCACCATCACCAACACCACCAGCACCTCCAGCACCACCACCAACGCCAACACCGACACCAGCCACACCACCCACACCAACCACACCACTCACACCACTCACACCACTCACACCACCCACACCGCGTACACCAACGACACCAGCGACGCCACAACACTATTGGTATTGGATGTCAGGCTCCAACAGCTACGCTGCTAAATTGCCGGCTAGCAATGCTGGTATATCTCACCCAGAACCATTACTTGCAAGAAGAAAGGCCCTCAGCCTGAGACGTTCTTTTGTTACACTATGCTGCCCCCATGCAGTGACCTGTTGTCTGGGAAGCTCTGCGAGAATGGGTCTCCGGTGATCAGGTTTGGCAAAAGGACGGATACATCCCTTAATAAAATCCCCCTGCCTCCACAATCTCCACCAGACCTCTAGATATTCTGAGAAATCCTGCAGGCTTGCTTCAGCAAGTTCCCGTGAAAACGCATTCTTTGCTTCCCAGATTCCCAGCTAGAGCCAGCCACCTGCTGGCCCCCTGCCAAGAATTTTTCCTCCTAAGAATTACGAAAGCTTCCTCCGTGAGAATCAGGCGGAGACACTTGTGGAAGGTATGGAGGAGGCCTTGTTGAAGGCTCCGCAGAAACGAGCTGCCAACATAGATCTTGGAAGCCCGAAGAGAACCGAATGTACATGGCAAGGTGCCTGAACTTCAACCCCCTGCTGTGTGTGATTCACAGAGATAGCCCATCAAAACCAGAGATGAAGTGAGTGATTGAAGACTGAAGGCCCGATCTGCATCCGCAAGAGCTTTTCGAGGTCAGGACCCACCAAGAACGATTTGTTTGGCGTGCTTTCAGTCGAGCATGCGAAAGGCAAAGCTAGTGCTCCACGACCTTGCAACCAGCGACTTGGGGCAGAAGGTGAGCGACCTTGGAGGCGCTGATGTTTTTTTTTGTGACTGTATGTTGCTGCTCATCTGTGCTGTTCAGGTGGGCTCATTACTAGAAGGGGCGGCGGGACCCAGCTGCCACCTCCTAGAAAGGCTCGTTGGATGCACCTAGACTTGGCCCTCGCTGCTGTGTTGATAAAGCCGTGCTTTCAGTCGTCAGGTGCAGAACTGGGACCAGACAGCTCTCTCCAACTGGCTGATGGAGGTGAGATAATGTAATATAGTATTATGATATAACATAATAAAGTAGAATAATCTAATGTAAGATACTGTAACAGTATAGTGAGAGATACCTTTATTTACCTGCGTGAACGTACAGTACGCCAGCAATGCGTGACGCGCGTCATCTAGTTCATGCATAGAAACTTGTGGGCAATTGACACCGTCTGCTCCTGCAGACTTTTGGCACGGCAGCATTGGCATTCTAGCATGACCGCTGGTCATTGGCTCAAGAAGAATCTGTTGCTGGAACCCTTGCGGCACAGAGCTTCGTATCCGTAAAATCCGATCAGCCTCTTGGTCGCGCAAGCCCATGGGAGCATCTACTTCTCAGACTAGGGCACGAAGCGCGCGTACGGCAGCCAAGGTTATGTTTTTCATATGTGTGCAGCTCTCAGCTGGATCGAACAAGCTTCACCGGATATCATGGCAACAAGCGCAGATCATGTTTGTGGCATTGTAGTTTCGCAAAATTGGGGGTACTTTCTGGGGGCGTCCCTAGCACCAGGCCTCTGATATATTGGGGTACACGAAAGGGACTCCCAACTTTGGAAAGTACCCAATATTGTTCTGATCCATCTTCCGTGCTGGCACAAGTGTAGGCCTGCAGATTAAGGTGCTGAGGCACCTGTCCATTTTGTTGCTGACTTTGCCGCGCACCCTTGTGGCAGAGGCCCTTGTGCCTGGAGCCCAAAAAGCTGAAGGAATCCTTTCTGTTCTTTTCAAAACTATTCTTCGTCAGCAGCCCTTGTCATCCATGTTCTTGGCCAGAGTGAGTCAGATCCAGGTAGTAGTCGCATCTTGACTGGTAGTATTTGTTCATTAGCAGGAAGACACCGAAAAGCCAAGCAAGAAGTGCGGTGATAAAACGCAACAGGCAGAGTGCGGCAGACTTGCATCAAATGAACACGCTTCTGCAAGCGTAGCTACTGCTCGGAACCGTGCCTACCCTGAAGCTGAGCAAGCCACGAGGTAATGTTACTTTTCTCTCAGCCATTCCGTCCTGGTCAGGCTGACGCACTGAAGACACTCAACGTTCAAGTGTCCTCCGCACTGTCAGCTGATGACAGCTGTGACAGGCCAGTACTGAAGGGCGCGGGCTTGACATCCCAGAACTTGCTTCCAGCATGTTATACTTGATGCCCTGACGCTCCCAGGGGTACATCCAACGCTTGTGGATTGGGTGCGTTGCAAGCTGCAGTGCATGCGCGCAGCGCCAAGGAGAGGTCCTCACACACTAAGCCTACTAAACATACGCACCAGCAGTGGCAGCACCACACTACGCGGAGAGCTGCCAAACTGTCAGGAGAGATCTCAGGACACGAAGTTGTCCAACGGGGAGGAGCGATCCATTACAAGCTCCGTCTATGATGAAACAGAGACCCATCAGAAGTCGAACGTTTCGTTTCTCTCGTCCTCCGGTAGCTCGAAAGATGCAAAAAACAGCGAAGCTTTGCAGGCGATCGAGCCTCTCGGCTGAGGGCGGTTCAGAGTCACACATGTCGAACCCTTGCGTTCCCCTCCTGCTGACAACGCTCAGGCATTTGGTTTTCAAGGACTGGATAGTAGTATAAGCATGGCTCCGCGGTGCAGTAGCAAACGGAAAGCTGACCCTGCAAGTTCGTGCAGGACCTGCACCTGAATGCCAGCCAGATTGACAACCTTTTCAAAGGTGTCGTTTTGGCTGTCGCAAGCGAGGCAGAGAGGAAGAGTCAGAACGAGATGGGCCGTGGTGTTCTCAAGCTGCTGCGCAAAGCAGCGCTGAAGGCGCTGCTGGCCCAGAAGGCAGACTCCTTTGATGTGCAGCAAGGCTATTCTTGGCTGGAGGAAAATGAGACCGGGTTGCTGTTAAGGAACTTGAACTAAGTTACTATATTAGTACGGAAACCTTATTATTTACTATTTACCCATATCATTGCAACTTAACTTACGTTCCTTAACAGCAACCCAGGAAATTGAATATGCCCGGGCATCATTGGCCCTACCAATCACTGGGGGCTCCATTCTGATCCTTGCACTGGTTTCTCTAAATTTCTTCCACCGCACCTTCGGCCCCACCAAGGACGACCAGGCGCTGCACTTTTGTGGGTGGTTGAAATTAACGGCCATAATTCGTGGCACATGCAGTAAAAAAACTTGATAGGTTGGATTGCCTGGAAATTTCTCACCTGGCCTGGATACGACTTCGACGGCCACACCTCCTCTAAGCGGCTTGCTTTGATATGGTCATGCCCTGCCATTGTGCTGCATGCCATCAGCAATGCTACCGCACAGGTGAGAACCTGGAGGCTGGGTTTGAGGACAGGGCCGATGAGAACACAACGACTACGCCAGGCAGCTTTTCCGAAGCTTCCGCTCATTCCGTGTGGCTCGAAACGCGTCCTTACTTTCTCCATTGCTGCCCTCAGAGACTGACTAGGCAGCGCGAGTGGTATGGATGACTATTCCATCTCTGTCTCCAGCGGCGATGAATCAGTGGAACCAAGGAAAGATGAGGAGGCCTGTTGCCTAACCTGCCTTGCCCTGACTGCGTAATCACCTGAGCAGCCTTGGATGCATCAGGTGAGAGCACCCTTCATTGCCCTCTTCCGCTTTGCTCGCCCTTACGTTGCCAGACTGCAACCAAAGAGTTGAGATGCTGACGCTAGTTGCATCAGTGCAATGAGAAGACCTGTCAGGACATTCTTGCTACAACTATGGCAATGGTTCTGGGTGCCGTGCATGGTTCTTGTATGCCAATGGCTTTCTTCTTCCTTTCAGACCTGTACGTAGCTATCTACATGCCCAATGACGATGGATCCTTACCGCCTGTGGACGGCCCGCACTCCATTCGCAATGCAAAGGTGCAAGAGGTTGGCCTGACGTACGTTCTTTTGGCCTTGGTTGTCTTGGTAGCAAGAACTGGGGGTTGCTATTTGGTCATCAAAGCAGCAGATCGACAAGTGGTGGCCGCACGCCGGCAATACTTTTACCAGATTTTGATGCAAGGCCCTTCGTGGCATGACATGCACAGCGCAGCGGAGCTTGCTCCAGCGCTCGTGCAAGACACGCACCTGTTCCGGGATGGGATTGGTGAAAGGCTTGTCGATTTCACGCGCGCCTGTTTTATGGCCGTGTCAGCTACAGTGACACAGCTGCAGCCAAGACTTTTGCAACACACAGTATGTCTATCATTGCATTGCAACTAATAATTCGCTTTGCCATACGTTGTTGATGTGGATCAAGGTGCTCGCTTGCAGTCGTGATTGGAAGGTCAGCATTCTTATGGCCATCATCATGCCCATCGCGGGCATGTGCATGGCTCTATCTGTGGAAGTTGTTCGGAACTTCTCCACGGTGGTCGAAGCCTGCTATTCCAAGGCTGGTGAAGTGGCTGTTGCTGGGCTGACTTGCTGAGCTACCCAAATTCGCCAGAAATCCAACGTCAGCTTAGGTTACAGCTACGGAGCTGATTAAGACAGTTACATCATTCAATGGCCAGCGGTTGGAGCTGGAATCCTTCAATGGGCATGTCGATGAGGCACACCTCAATGCCATCCAGAGAGGGCCTTAAACCACGTTGAGATGATTTGAGCATGTCCGGGTGAAGCGACTGACTCCGAAAGTGTTGTGGCTGAGGATTGGAGTGGTTGCTGGCTATGCGACTGGCCTTATCAACACAGCGCCCTATTGTAAATATCCTTTGTGTGGTTGGGCTTCAAGCACCGCAGGGTGGTTTCGTTTAACAACGCCTGCGTTCCAGGTGCTCATCACAGGCATGTCTTTGGGTGTCTACTTCGGCTCCCAATGGGTGCTTCAAGACTATGAGACGGTGCCTTGGCCCATTCAAAAGAGCTTAGGAATCTCTAGTGGCGACATGCAAACCGCAACATCATGTTTCGCATACGCATTGGCCGCACATGTGACTAGATGGAGCCAGGATTGCTGGCGTGCTTCGCCGCCTTTTGGGACCTGCCGGACAGGTGGGACGATCCTGTCGGCTATGCACTATGGCAGAAGCTGTTCAGAGTAGAAAGTCCAGGTCGCCGAAGACTGGCTGGATGCGTTAACTTGGACAGCTGAGACAGCTGAGGTACACCATCATTTGGGGATTCACGATGGGCCTGGGTACCATGAACATGTGCTTCACGGCCTTTGCAAGTGCAAGGGCTGCCATCCATCGGATAGTGGCCATCTTGGATGAGCCGCGTAGCGCCACGAGCCAAGGCCTAAGAGTGGGAAGCGAGGATCTCAAGCCTGAAAGGTTCAGGCAATGCCTGGTGAAGCTTAGAGAGCCCGTGACTATCCGAAATCCCCACGCTTTGACTTAACCTCTCAAGTAGGGACAACGTATCGCGAGGATGCTGACGCTACTGTCACCTCCACAACCGCCACCGCAACCGCAAGTCGAAGGTGCTAGCTGCTGTAGAATCTTGGGATTTATTTCTACATCTTGTGCCACTCCGCCATGCGCATAGCCACCTTTGACTTCAAGCTCACGGCAGTGGCCCCAGGCTCAAGCAGACCCAGAGGCCAGAAGTCCTGGAAGTCCGATCTCTCAAAGCTTGAACGGCTTAATGTCGTTATTCGAGCTTGAGAGAGAGGGGGGGAGGGCAATCCACACTGGAGAGGCACCCGTGCATCGCTGAAGAGACCAAACTAGACTGCACTCGGGCAAACGCAGGAAAAGCTGAGGAAAGGGGCAGGCGAGAAGGGAAGCTTGCGTTTTCTTCTCAAGCAACACTGCCGACCTCTTCGCACAGAGCGTGCTACGGGCAATGTGCTAACCTCTCACTCGCTTCACGTAATCTCGAGCAATGAGCTTCCGCTTCGGTCAAGCATAGATCCGCTAGGTAGGCTCAAGCAGCGCCTTGATCCACACATGAAGGACAAGGGATTGGGGAACGTTGATATAGTGTAGGTGTGTCTGGGCGTCATGCCTATAATCTCCTCCCTACAACGTCGATGTCCAAAAGTGCCCACCCCTACATGCAAACAAGCAGGAGTCTGAACCAAACAAAGCGAACAGATGATCAAGGTGGTGGCAAGGTACTACCGAATGTGGAGGGCGAGATCATCTTCTCCGATGTCTTCTTTGCTTACCCGAAGCGCTCAGAATCTAGGTTTCGACTTGCGTTTGTCTTGCTGGTAGTTCAAAGCTGGTTGGCGCCATGACATCATATTTGCTGGTGTTGCAGCCGAGAGAAACTTTTGTTTCATAGCTTGAAGCTCGTTACTGTTCCTCCAATTTCGACATGCCGGGGGGTGGGGTACGATTCTTACTTTTATTGCTATTATTGCTATTATTGCTATTGTTACTGATTGTTTCCCGGTCTTCTGGGCTTGCTGCATCCTGTGACGGTAATGATTTAAAACCGTGCAAGCTCGCGGTGCTTTGTCTGGTTGATGTTCAGGAGCTTAAACTAAGTTACTATAACAGGGAACCTCCTTCATTTACTATATGCCCATATTATGGTAAATTAATCCAAGCTTTCCAACAGAAACCCAGTTGTTGGTGGTCCTGGAGGACTGGGAATCCAAAGAACCTTCATGCAACCCCGTACAGATTGAAGCAGAGTGGATGGCCCTTTGCGACATGAAAAGTAGTAATAGTCATACAGTAATAGTTGTCCAGCAGTAGTAGTAGTCGTCGTCGTATTCGTAGTCGTGGTCGTGGTAGTGTCCGGCTGACTTGACCTCCAAATGACAGCATTGATGCCAAGTGCCATGGGGTGATGTATGTCGCAGAGAAGCACAATGCCTAGTAATAACAGTGTAGTAATATAGTAATATTAATCGTATTGATAATAGTAACAATAGTGCGAATGAGAACTAGTTGTCTCCTGGATGTCCTGCTTGTGAATTGTTTTCTCAAGCTTTCGCGCCCAGGAAAGTAAATAGAAGGGCCTGAATGCAATCCAACTGGACTTCGCTGCATCCTTAATCTCCTACTTTCCCTTACTGTTATCGTTCCTCAAGCAGAAATAAAAGAAAATCATAGAATACATCTGCATGGCTTGGCTGGAATTGCGAATCTCCTTGATGTCTCAATGCGAAAGTGAGTGCTTCAATAGAACTCAAGCGGGCCTCTAGAAAAGTCTGGCTGAAATTGTGATTCTCCTGCAGGCCTCTACTGCACGAAAAGTCTTAGCTGTCATCCATGCTGCTGTGAAGTTACAATTTCACTAGATGAGGGTCTCGTTCCTAAACTTTGTAGATGGCAAAACAAGTAAAGAGGGCGGGGAAAACGACGGAGTAAAGCCCCATGTCCTCAATCCTGCAACTTCTAGCCGCAGAACCACACGCCCCGGAGTTTAAGCACCCGCTGAAGGGGTCGCATGAGAGCAACAGCCTCCAATTTCCAGTTGGCATAGCTGTTTCAGGATTGTGACAGAATTTGATTGTCCTCGATCCCAAGCATCCTCGGCAAAATGCTTTAGAAAGCTTGGCAATAGTATATTCCGCTATATGGCTGACAGTCAGAGAACGTCCAGCTTTGTGGGAGGTTTGCTGCATCTGAAACATCAGACGTGTTTGCAGCCACAACACTGAGCAACAAGATCACACATGGGTTTGGGGTTTAGGGTTTGGGCACAGAAGCAAGAGAGCGGCTGAGTGGGCGGTGGCGCGCATGTTGAGAAACCAGACAGCGTGCCTTGTGCTACCAAAGTACTGCGCGTTGCTCTCCATAGCAGGAAATACAAAACCTTGTCAGCAAATTCTCAATCTCTTGCAGCACTGTCGGGGGGGCTCGTCCTCACCGTTCTTTTGTGC